CCCGGACTTGGGACCGGGCTGAGCTGCAGTCTCCCCCAGAGTCTGTTGTCCGTCTTTGCATGCATGCGGAGAGGCCCTCTATACGGGGTATATGGATAGTGTCCTCGGCTGCCGCGTGCTGAAGAACCTTTTCTGCAACAAGGCTGGTCACCTTCGGGTATTCCTTGTCCAGAAAGCTCCAAAGTCGTAAAAACTCCACTTGCGGCAAAACAGTCCAGGCGTCCACTATGATGTCTTCAAATTTATAGTCGGCCCAGTACGCCGTGCACAGATCTGATACGTAGCCGAGCTGCTGGTCTGTTACGCCTTCGCAGCTAGCTTCGTCCAGCACAGTATCACTCAGTCTTGCACGTAGGTGAATAAACGCAGCCCACTGTTCATCACCCTTTCTAGGCTTGAACCGCTCATGGCGCTTTACTACTACTACTACTACTACTACTACTACTACTACTACTACTCAGTAATACTCCTCCTCACTACTCCTTTTTTCCTTTCTCCCTGGCATGAGGGTCTTGTCAGGCGCCGAGGGCCCACCTGCTTGCTGAGGGCCTTGTGGAGAGGTCTGAACCGAGTTCCCATTCCCCCACAAACATCCGAAAACGTCTTTGCAAGGCTCCTCCGGGCGACCTAACAGATCAAACTAGGGCGAGAGAGCAAGCCTAGCGGGCCTAGCAGCTTGTTGTTGCCATGGTTGCGGAGGTGACACCCGGACCAACAGCCCCCATCAGCAGCGAGGGCGAGAGCGAGAGTGAGGGCGAGAGTGAGGGTGAGGGTAAGAAGTAAGTGAGGGTGAGTGGTGTGAAAGCAATCTGCAGCACAAACTGTTACGCGACACACTCACTGCCCTGCACACTGTTGCAATACACGCTGATGCACGGTACACTGCTGCATGGCGCGACAGAGAGAGTCATCGACAATGACAAGAAAGACTTCATACCGCCTCGAAGGACGCAACTCAATGCAAGGTTTACACTTTTTCTGGTTCTCGGACAGGAAACCTCGCTAAGCTCCAAACCCTAAACCTGCCTTGTTGAGGGGCTGCAGCCGTGACTTCCTTAATCATCTGCTCTCGTTTCATGGTCCCCATGCGGGACAAACGCAGAGATGTCGCCATCTTCTGAAAGCTACCTGAGGCGGCCAGATAAAATCCTTTCTCAGTTCGTTTACTATCAGTATTACACGTATTGCAATTGCTTTTGTTGGTGCTAGTAGCATTCGCATGACTATGACTGTAGCTATCTGTATTCTCTTACCAGTAGTACAGCAATATGAGCAAGAATGTTTACGGTTAGAGTTAGGTTCCAAAAAACAACTGTAGTGACTTGGTGGGGTTTACGGCGCGCCCGGAAGCCCGGCAGGCGCACCCAGCGGTTCCACGCTGTGCAACTCTCGTCAAAATCCGATACGAGCAGTCGTAGTAGAACAGCAGCAGAGGCAGGACCAGCAGCAGGAGAGTGGTGGGAGGTCGTGGTCGTGGTCGTTGTAGTGGTAGTGGTGGCGGTCGTGGGAGTGGGAGCAGCACCAGCACCACCACCACCACCACCAGCAATAGCAGCGGTACCAGCAGTAGCACTAGCAGTAGCACCGGCGGTAGCAGCAGTAGCACTGGCAGTAGCAGTAGCCCCAGCAGATGCACTAGCAGCAGCAGGAACAGCAAGAGCGACAATACCAGAGGCCAACGTGAAGTGTTGTGATGTGAAGACTGAGTATGGGCATCAGAAAAAGCGAAGAAGGCAATGACAACAAGCAGAACGAAGGCAAGGGTACACGGAAAATGACTTATTGCTGACTTTGGGTCTTGGCACTTCTCATAGTCGAACCAACTGCTTCGTCTTGCAAGGCGGTGCGAGTTTGACTCCTTACAGGATCGTTCAGGCACAGTGACAAGCATGCCATTCAGAAAAACAGGAACCGGAAGACGATACCACACAATCTGGTGGCATAGTGTGCTCAACAAGGTCTTATCTGCTTGCCACAACTCCGTGCAAACTGATTGACACCACGAGAGGCAACGGCAGCCTGACAGCGCCCAATTCAGCAGCAAAGGTCACACAAGCCCATTGCTCTGCAGACTCTGCTTCCTAAAGGCCGTGCCTCTACGCGTTGTGATCGGATGACCTGCACTGGATGCAGCGTGTAAGATTCCCTCGAATTTTGCATCGGACACATTGGTACGGGCCTCCGTGTTAACATTACGACTGGCAACCACCACGAGGTTGTCTTGTCCGTCGGCAGCCTCCAAAACAAGCTGCTGTCATCAGATCTGTTCCTACGCACCAGCACTGCAAAGTCCAAGACATCTGCGACCCACGAAGAAAAGACTCGCCTCCAGCCTGTCAATGACATCACTCGTATTGGAGATGAAGGAGGCGCCTGACGCGGTCTGCAGTTTCGAATGCCTTTATGGCAGGGTCCGGACTCTGGTGAAGGCCTTTGCTCTGAAGCGCCGGCTCACCGTCTGTAGAAGCACACGTGCCCATGAGCTGAACACAATACAGCAGTGATGCCGGGAGGTTATAATTACTACACTTGTGACTGGGAACACTGTCTTCACTCATGTCTTGACTCTCTGGACTACTTCGGAACCTCGATGTCTTGCCAGTACCGGCAACATTTGCTTTACTCATGTCTCGACTCTCTGGACTACTTTCGGAACCTCGATGTCTTGCTAATGGTACTCTTGGGCATCGCTACATCGAGTCTCTACCGACCCATAAGACTCAGCGTCGACGCTTGAGCTGGAAGCTTGCAAGGTGCAAAAGGTGCAACCTCGGAGAATAAAAGGCCTAGCAGCTCCGATTCCGAGTCCTGTCCAAAGGAGCAGACCAGTTCTCATCTTGCAGTGCCTGGACCTGGCTTTCAGGTACATTTTACTGCTCACGACACGCAGAAGAATAGACCAGAAACAAACGTGCCTACAGTAATGCATGTCCACACATACCTACCCGCACCTCTACCTACCTGTTTCCCTCCTCCCACCCTCCCGATACAACAAAGCCGGAAAGAACATGTAGCCAGGTTTCAAGCCATCCAAGCCATCGAACTTGACAATACTCCCATCTAATCAGCTTCCCCCCACGCGACAAAATCACAACTTACATGATCGTCGCTCAACTGAGTTTGTCTACGAATCTACCATGATGCAGTTATCGGGTGAATTGAATGAGCAGCAGACGTATCCAGCCAGTGGTGCACAAACGAGTCCGAAGAGTGAAATAACTTTTTCATGTTCCTTCCTACCTTCCTTCCTTGCTTCCTTGCCTCCCTCCACCTTCGTGTCTTCGTCCGGCCTTCCGTCCATGGAAAGTAAGGACGCGAGACTCGCACTCGCATAATGTCTCTCTTTGTTGAAGGCATAGCCCCCAAAACAGTCTCACGGCAGAGGAAAGCAAACACTGAAGAATCCAGTCGCACGTGCTATGGCAAAACAGTCGGTACATCAGTACTGCGGGAAACAATCTGACTGTCGAGTCTGGACCAGAAATCTGCACCGTCATTTCAGATCTCCTTCCGTTTGACAAGTGGGGAGTTGGTCATATCACGCACGGCAGAGAGTGCACGCACGATTGGCCGAAATTCATCACAGAATCCCAAAGCCTGCTTGTTGACCTCTTCCATGATCATCCTGAGCGGAAAGCGTGGGTGGTCTTGCGACCAGGAGACATCCGTCAAATTCCTTGCGGCCGAGCAGCTCAAGAGCCATGCGAGTGCCAGTCATCGACACAACCTGCGCGAAGGCTCTCATGATTTGAAAGTCAAAGGGCCGAGAGGGTGGGGACTACCAATATTCCCAGCCTGCTCCGCCGCGGGACCTTGCCCAGCAGCCTCTGCGATGGAGATCTTTGCAGCACTGGTTTCCCGCAGCTGCTTGATGTTAGCACCTCACGCCCAGACAAGAAGCTGTCGCATTACATCTAAGTGCAGCCACTGAGATTTGCCTCCTTTGCCGATCAGACCACCCACTGCTGCCTTGGGGACCTCAACGCGAATCTTGTCTCGGTCGTTGTTGTCGACGCTCGAACGTTGGGGGCACCGTGGCACCGTGGCCCCAACCAAGATGCTAAGTCTTAAGTCCCCCTGAGCGTCGCCAGCAGCCTCGATGACCTTCAAATTGCCACCACAAAACCCTTCTGTAAGTGAAACATTCGGGAGAGCCGACCTTATCGATGATCAGTCTCGACAGCTCCACCAACTGAGAGCTTTCCGACGCAGAAGCTGTCAGAACACGGCTATCTGTTCCTTGGTATCGGACACTTGCTGTAAGACTAGCCAGCAATTGTGACGAGAACAGCAGCTGGGGATTTGTGGCCTGGAAAGAGCTCATTGTGCTCCGTGAGACTCATCCTGGCTTGTGTCCTGCTTTCTTGGGCGATGATTGCGGCCATGCCAGAGTTGCAAAAGGTAGACAAGAAGGCGTGGCCTCTCCCGCATTTGAGCCTGAAGCTCCACAGGACGCAAGTTGCCGGGAAGTGGCCACAGTTGATTGTGGCAGCACACGAAGTCTTCATCCAAGCAGCAATAGCGGCACCGCCTTTGCCAATGATGGCAGAGGCCAATGCCTGTCCGCACGGAATCGAAGGTCTTGGGACGATGCAAGGCAATGACATGCAACGAGCAGATTCGAAACCTACGATGCGAGTCTGCTACAAGCAGCGCTCAAAAAAAAGATTTACCACATATATCATAGGCCAAAGCGAGGTGTCTTAACAGTCCTGTACACAGTCTGTCTCTCCAGTTATGCGTCCCACTTGTCCTCGCGCTCGGCACGCATACGCTTTTGCTGCAGCAACCAACTTCCGTCGGCTGATTGGGCGGTGGTGGGCAGTGGGAACAACTGTCTGAGCAGCCATGTGTCCCCTCGTTCCACTCGCACACGCCCGTTCCGATGACACCGAGACGCTTCAAGCGCTGGCTTCACTCAGCAAAACCCGCGCTGCCTCAGGGGTGAGAAACTTCAGCACGCAGGGCATCACCACCTGATCTCGTGGATGAAAAGGGCTTGAGGGGAGACAGGCACAATTCGACATACTGTTACCTAGTGTTACAGGAGGAACTCGGCATGGTCGGGTTTTGTAAGTTTCTACAGGAGACCTGCTGTTTGTGTAAGACTTAGTTCGGGGACCTAAAACTACTTCGGGGACCCGGGGTCATGTAAAAACGGATCCTTTACGAGTACCCCCAAGGTAACACCCAACGGATAAGCTAACGAATGATCCTGACCAGGCCTCCAGACATTCACCAAACAAAACCCTGATATCAATCTCAGACTACCCTGGATATATGCATACATATATATATATATACATAGATATAGATGTATATATACACCCACTGAAAAGATCCTTCAAAGGCTCTGGATTAACGCCCATAAGAAACCCTCAGAAAAGGTGTTCAGAAGGCTAGGAAGGGACGGGGCACGACATCGGTTTTCGAGAACTCGAGAGGAACTGACTCTGCAATGCTCCTGCAAGGCTGAGTTCTTCGCGCGGTTCGATGCAAAGCGCTTCGCGCCACGGTGAGTACCTGCGATGTGGGCGGTCAGAAGTGGAGCGAGAGCGAAGGTAATTTCTCTCTCAGCAGCACACCGGCGTCCCAAGAGCCACTCCTTGGTGCGCAACACACGAAGTGAGAAACACTGTACAACTCCAACACCTGCAAAAAGCGCAAGCTCGAGGGCGGAGATACTGGCATGATCTCCGTACCACACGTCATGTCATGGAATTGGCAATACAAGACTTTCGGTAATGACACTGTCTGCTTTGCATTGCGAGCTGCTGTCTCTTCATACGCCCTCACGGGAGGGCCTGAGCAACGAAACAGGCCCAGGTGACTCGATGCTCGGAACACCGAAGCAGAAAAGACTCGATGCGCGTGCCTCTGTGCGCACGATGCTACACTACGGCTCTTGTGATTGTGCTGCAGCACAACTTAGTGCTCAATGCTTGAAGATAGAGTCTTGCTTCTAGGAGCAGGTTGGAGCAAGACCTGCGAGGCTCTCACTCGAGCTGCCAAAGCATAAAGAACACTTAGCAGCACGTAGTATGCGTAGTCCGAGTCATTTGCAGCGTAAGGTCATCCTAGACCGCTCGGAACCATTTCAAGCTGGCGAAGACATGTCAGGTTTCAAAACGGGCAGTAAGACGCAATCAAGGTGGAAGCTTGGAACCTCCGTGAACTGGCAGACACTTGCGAGATCTAAACCTGGGGCAGCTTGCACAGTTCCAAGTCTGCCGTGCACCAACACATTCAAAGCAATGTTTCGCCGAAATATGAGTACTTGCTACAATGCACTGCAACGGACAGACAGTTCCTCAACAACTCCCAGGTGTTGACGGCTTCATTCGATTCCGACACATCCTGATCTTTTTTCGGCTGGGGAGTGGACGGAGCTACTTCGAGCATGAACGAATTACGGCGAAGGCTTCTTCGCACGCCTGGAGTTTACAGCATCGAGCCCTGAATCCGAAAGAAATCTTTGTCTGCCGGGGTGCGACATCGAACAACCTACCCAGTAAACCCAGATGTTATGCTTTTGCTGCCATGCAGCAGACTCTTTATCGAACGTGCTACTTTCATTCCTGAAGACTGCCGGTGGTTCGTGGCCTATGTACCAAACATGACGCTACGATGGCACAGTCCTTTTGCATGACAAAGCTTGGAGGCTGGGACGTGGAGGCCGGTGCAGGGATGTATCTTCTAGCTGTTTCTACAAGGAAGACTCTCACATGACTGCTCCCTGCTACGGTCGGGCTCGTCTGGGGCCAATTCAAAATTACCACTTGCATCCTCCACGGCAAATACATTATAAAACCAGGCCCGCAGAAACATGGATCTGCGTGCGAGATCCACAGATCTGAATTTCCTGTGCTTGGGTCAACACAGGAGCCAGATGTCCTGCCTGCCGAGCTGCCTAATCATGTAGTACACTCGACAGGCAGTTAAAATGAATGAAGATGAAGCCAAAAGATTCAGACTGAAAGCTTAAGTAGTATGATTAGGACAGATCGGGATGCCACATCCTCTGCGGAAGCTTGCTCCAATTAAGCATGAAGAGGAAATTTACACTGCCAAAAGGCTCAGACAATGCAATGGGGACCACGAGAGTTGTTTCCGTAGAAACTTGTTGCAGTGGCCAGAACGCATGTTCCCATCTTGTCTGCAGTCTCTCCGAACAGTGCCGCTACCTACTAAAGATGTCCAGAGCTCTCACAGGCATTCTACGCGCGGATGGGAAGCATTTCTTGGGTGCGTCAAAGTCTGTCCTTTTGCACCTCTGGATCTTGCAGAGTTTTGGGAAACAGCAATATGGATGTCGGCCGTGGTCCCCAATGCATCAGAAAAGACTCCATGGTAGGTTCTGGATGTGTGAAACAACCTCGGTGCCAGAGCAACTCAGCAGAGCTTGGTGGAATTTGTGTAGCAAGTGTCGGAAGTCGCAAGTGTGGTAATTCGTCTACAGATGTCAACTGCCAGCTATTCGCAGACCTGCTTGCGTGGGTTTACTTCTCGACTTAGACTATGCACATGTTCACTGCCACGAGCATGCTTTCACCTAGATCTTGTGCACAACCGTCTCTCAGCCTCCAGCTGAAATCCTCGATTCCGAAACAACGTCCGGCGTGATCAATGACCAACCCAGAGGCAAGTCGCCATCATTCGGGGCCCTGCAACAAGTCTTTGGCCGCGCCATGAGGACGCGTAAAGTCCGAAGGGACACAGCATGGGTCCGCTGGAAGTGAAGGATGCATCAACCGCGGGCAACCTGGACATGCGGTGGCATGAAGAAGGGTGCACCTTCTCAGAAGCGCCGCGCCCAGATGGCCTCTACACCTGTCAGAATCATCAGCCGCATCACATCATTGAATCTTCGCAAAGCCGACCGCGACCTAGGGAAAAATCGATACACCCAAGGTCAGACCCACGTAACTTCCGACTCCTTTCTTGCATGATGCCTGCTCTTTCAATTGCAGTTGTTGCTGACTTCCCTTGTTCTGCGCTGCTTGCATGATGCTAGCCGAGATTTGGGTATGAGATTACATTCTGGCGCATGTTAGACAAGGGTGCCAAGAGCCCCAACGGGCTTGTTGTTGGGCGTCCTTTGTGGGAGACATGGCAATCAAACGCACCCCAAAATTGAGGCAGCACCAGACCACTTCTACGGTAAGACCGACAACGACAGACGACTACGATAGCTTGGGCTGCTACGAATCTATCTCTATCGGTTGCATTCCCGCTACTCTTTTCTTGGTAGCATCGCTACTAGCGATCTGTACAACAATATTACCCAAGCTACTGATTCTTTTGACGATTGCTTCACGTCGTCGCCATGCAGTAGTACGAGGTTGCTGGTGATGACAAGATCTACCAGAATTGCGACTGCGATGCTTTACGTGGTGGTGTTATCTAGAATCTAGAAAAAGCTTGTAGCCGGTAGCAGTTGCATCAATAACAGATCAATCGTCCCGCAGGATGTCAATGCACCCCTAAGTAAAAGCACTGCTCATTGGTTGCTTGTTTCTCACCCGTCACAAGATGTACATGCAGTTCGCGCAGATGAACATCAGAATGTCTAATGCTTTGGAACTCTTGCGCAATGGATACCAGCAACACTGGTAAGAAAGGCGCCAACGAAACTACTGGCCCAACAGCAGCAACAAGAGCAGAGAATGTGGCAATGATAGTTGCGGAAGATAGGACTGTTGCCGAGCGTTGTACAGTAACTATAAATTGTGTGTGGTAGCGTGTGGACATTCAAAGCAATCTGCAATGAAATCATCAACCTCGTTAGCTCATCTGTGCCCAAAATTCCACAATGTTTTCATCACACTCATTAGATGGCCAGATGGCGTTGCGGAAGCCTCGTCCAGGATGGGCTTGATCTCCTGCTCATTCGCCTGCCGAATTTTTTTGGAATCCACGGCCCATCATAGCCTAGGGCCTATGTGCTTCTACCACTGTGTCCAAGCTCGAGCCCCTCTCGTGCTCCATCCTCCAAATCCAGGTCATGCGGGATCATCTTGTCCGTCACGCTGGACTGCAGGTCGGGAGAGCTTAGCGGCTTAGCATTTGAGAAGGGCTCAAGTGATATCTTCGAAGCCACTTCCAGTTCACCGTGCCTCCGGACATTCCATCTGGCAGAGGTGCTCCTTCCACCCCTCAGAAGAGATGCTGCCACGACCAGCTGTCAGCAGAGCCCATTCGAGGCCGCGGCTGCAAAGGCCCGCCGGCTCTTGACTGCAACGAGCACCAATAGCAGCAGCACCACAACTAGAACCTCGGGACTGGGGGATACTTTTCGAATCCCACTAGAGATCACCAGCCAGACCCAGCTTCCGTCAACTTGTCATACTGCTTTTCCGTCATGGTGCCCAAGAGTGCAAGCAAGGCGCCAAAAGTGCCGGGGTCAGAGACTGAGCACCTCGCCGCAAGGTCAGGCACCAGCACTAGCGGAAAGCCCTCACTTCAGGTTTAAGTCACACCCTGAGAGCAATTCCCTGAAGCTTGGCCTGCGAGCTGACCCTGGGAAGAAAGTTGTACGAGACGCTGTCTCAGGTGGCCCTCGCTGTCCTTGGCAACAACAATGCTTGTATGCGAATACAGAACATATCTAAGCTGTCCGAGATGAATCCAGTCCGTGCGTCCGGACGAACTGAGGTCATGGCTACATAGTACTTCTGATTGAAGCCAGTTTCCACCACTTTCTGCGGCGGGGATGCAAGCACAAGCTGAACCAAGTTTTTCAGGGTAGCTGAAACACAATCTTCACGGTCTTCGAGTAAATGCTTTGGGTGCTGCACGATTGCCCGCGTGCCTGGACGATGTTACCAAGCTCCTGCCTGGAATGCCACTGGCTCAGTCAATCGGTGAACCTGCAAAGCCTGCAAGCCTGATACACTACAAGTCTGGGGGCTGAACCCGAATTTGACGCCAGAAGATGGGTCCTGATGGACACAAGCCCAGAAAGGTTGCAAAGGTGTGTGTGTGTGTGTAGAAAGACTGAGTGATCGGAAAGAGGCACCACTACGGTACAGTAGCCAGTGAAAATGCACATGTTGAAATTCGCGAACGGCACAACAAGTTCGAAAATACTTGCCTATTTCAGATTTTCACCCATTTTCCCCAACAGCTTCTCCAACAGAATACCGCTTCATCTCCCGCACCCCGAATCACCAAATATTCTCTCAAATAGCATACCACGATTCAACCAGCCACCTCGCGTCCGACTCTTTAATTCTGAATTTTCAACGAGCGTCATAACACAGCCCTCACCCCAAAAATCGCACCATTTTCCCCTTAAACACTAAACAAGCTTTTCCACCTTCTTTCAGAACTGCACCCCAAGAGCACTGCTCCACAACCTTTTCATCAAAACCCACCCACTTGCCGCCCTCACAACAACTATTGATCCACGGCCTAGCCTGATTTACCACCCGAAGACAGGCAACGTCCTTTTCATGGAACATGCTACCCTCGGACCCCACCCTGGGGTAAAATCTATCTTGAGATCTCAACCCAATACTGATCTATCTAGGCGCCATGCTCCTAGCTAGGCAAGGGAGGTATTGCAGAATGTGGGTTAAAGTTTGGGGTTAAGGATTCTCCGAAGAACTTAGATTGGAAGGCTGGCATCAAGGATGCGACGAGACGCTTACGCACACGTTTTTCCGAAATCGGCGAGTGAGGTCATCGGCCACTGCCCATATGATGTCTGAGACCTGCTTGATTGCGTCTTCAGAGAAAGAGCCCCCGATGTCCTTTCTGATTGCTTTGATGTTGCAATCATATTGGCTACCCTTGGTTGTTTGCAACAACCACAGCGTGAGGCTCTCGTCCTCACTCCTTGTCACGAGGAAGAAGTCGGCTGCGGCGAAGTTCCCCGAGTGAAGTCAACACAGCTCGTCAGCATTTTTGTTTCTGATCTTTTGGTCCTTTGAAGCAGATGCAATTGGCACCCGCGCTTGGAAACTGGGAACTTGCTGCTTCCAGACAGTTCCAGCAGCTCCCAAAGGTTTGCAAGTTAGTGTGCGTCGCATCTGTCCCTTCCCGGTCTGTGTGCTGAGAACCATGACCTCAAAGATATCTGCAACCAACTGCCCAAGCGGCTTACTGTCACCAACTTGGCCCGGGCCTCGTGTCTGGATGCTGAAGCGCCTTGACGACTTCCTGCTTTGCAACTTCTGAAGCAAGAAACTGCTCGGACACAGTCTTCACGGGACTGTCGAAGAAGCTCTCTGACGGCATCTTCCAAGGACTGCATCGACTCCTTTGCTCCTGCTGCTGCGCAGCCAGATCACGGAGCCAAGCAAAGCATGCGCCTTCTGGACATCTGTCTCGTCTTTGAAGGAAGCAAAACATGCCGGCACTCGATCAGCTCTTCAAGGGTGCACATAGGCATGAAGCGCCGTGTGCTGTGAGAGGACCCCTGCCACTCCTGCCCACACTGGAGAAAGTCACAAGACCAGCGACACCCACCAACACCCAACAACCCAAAACCCGACTAAGCAACCGAATCAACTAACCTTATCGGGTAACCTTACGAGGAAACCCATCTTGGGGGGAACAAAAAACTACCCTACAACCCAGGAGCCAACCCCTCAGCCCAATGAGTAAACCAGTCAGCTAAGCCGATCGGGGGAAGCCTATCGGGGAAGCCTACGATGAAAGCGTTTCAGAATCGCTTTTGCCAAGGAGCGGGTTCCGGTGGAGCAGCGTGCGTTGCAGCGCTGACACTATCCGCAACCGCTTCTTCTTCTCGAGGATAATGTCTTGCAATGCATGACCAAGGAAAAAGACCCACGTCCTCTGCAGCGCTGATGTCTTGTAGTGACTAAAGCGCTCTTGAATTTTTTTCCTCTGGTCCTCCGTGCACAATCCGTCCACTTGTGTGCTTAGCCATTCAAGCACATCATCTGGTGCAACCTCCGACAACCTCTGCTTCTTCAAAGCAGGACTTTCCACGGCAGACATGGTATTTGGGGAGAGCTCCAAGTGCGGAACACTTGCAGGTATGCTGGTTGTCGCCCAAACAGCTCTGAATCTAACATTGGAAGATGCAGGTGGGCTAGTTTTCTCGGAACCGAACCACAAGCAGAAACTCCATGACACACACAAGAGGTGAAGTTAAATGTTATATAACTTGCAAAAAATCACAACCCAAACTGTGCAATTGCCCCACCACCAACCCACAAGCAACGAACCCACTGAAAATTTACAGCTTCTCAATGGTCGGGCAACGTGCAACTCAAGTTGCTTTTTCCCGGGATATCTCACTTGATCTGAAACTTCAATGTCGGGATAAACCCGACTCCATCTAGCATTCATGCCTATATAAAGTTCGTTTAGCTTTTAACTCGTTGCTTGGTTTTCTGGCATCTTTGGGGTGAAGCCGGTCGCAGAAAGCTTCCGCTAATATATGTTACTAACCTTGGATTATAAAAACAATCCTTCCACTGAATGATGTCCTTTTCCGGCTTCAATTCGCCAATGTAATAATTTTTTGACTGTTCTATTCGGATGCGCCCTAGTTCGGTTCTGATGTTCTATGCTCCGTTCCTGTAAATACTTCTGTATAGCCTCCTTCTTTCATTGCGGCTTCATCGTTGGAAAAAACCATTGTGGCTCCTTCCTCATTTTATGTAATCATTCAATCATCCCACTAGCTACATTTTCCTCCTTGTTACTTTGAATAGGCACGACATGCATGAACAGGTCAAAGATACCAATCATTAGCACACCTACCTGATAATTCTTGGTTGTCCAAGCATTAATGAAGAACAAGTCCATGTGATACTCCCGTGCAGTATGAAGAGCAACAAAGCTGTTTGAACCGACGGGTTTGCGCTTCTGTTCAACATTCTTCCTAAAAACTCGTTGATATCGGACATTGTGATGGGGTTATCTTACACCCGTGCTTCTTCCAAACCCTGCGCGACCAAAATAAATATCATGCACACCGTTTTTGCTAAGTGATAAAAGCCATTTAATATATGGAACTAAATGGTCATCTTTCATCAGCCATCGGCGATGTGATCTTGAAGTTACTCATATCATATTTGGGTGTGCCACGCTTTGCTTCCGAAGGCTGTCTGGCATTCATAATTTCTGATAACATGTCGTCTCATCCGGTTGCGCATTGCTTCATATCCACGAACTGTCCTTTTTTGATTGCGTCGGGGCGTGGATTCCCTCTTTCCATCATGTCTACGCTTGTTCTGATACAATCTGCTGCACATGACAAGTTGCCTCTTGATTTCATCCATTGTCATATCCTCAGGATATTTACTCATGTTGGAAATGTACTGTGTATAACTTTACACCTTCAGATCGATATCCAGCTACGATAATATTATGTGTATACATATACATACATAAATATGTAATACAAAATCCTTTGGAAAATGCACTCTTGAAGAAAACGAATATACAGTTTAAGTACATTGGTATATGTCCACAGCCATTAGGAGAAATACGGAAGCGCTACAAACATTGTATAACAATAGAATCTGTAGAAGAAACCGCGTCCCCCAAGCCACCAGAACCAAAGACCAAAACATAATCAACCTATATTCAGATCGTAAGATCGCACAGTTCACTACAGCAGACACTTTGATTAGGAAACTCACCACAGCAAAAACAGGCACAGACAAATTAAGCAGGGAACGGTCACAACATGTAGAAAGAAAACTTTCACAAAGAAATCAAACTAAACCAGGAGGGGAAAACGATCGCTGAAGATAGCACTTCTTGGAAGATTAAAACGACATAGTTAAAACTAACCCACAAGATAGCGAAGGTGTTGATGCAGCGTCTACTGAGTGGGGATCAAGAAAGTCTCCCCCAGACGAGAGGTTAGAAAAAGTGAGGAGGATGTCGAAAGGATAGACAAAGATGGAAGCATTTTACAGAATAATCTAAGTACTATGGGTTATTCTGAAAAATACAACCTAACTTGGTTTGACAGTGTATAGTTATATCACCCAAATGCAGAAGGAAGTAAGCCCAATGCCCCATGTGTGCCTTGTAATAACCTGCAGATTGAGAAGCAAAACATAAGATTTCGGAAATGATATCAAATCGTAGTCGTTTCGTTACATCTTAAGGAACTGGTGCAAATTATCCTGTCACATTATGAAAAGTTGCACAATTATGAATATAGTGCCAGTAAGAGAAGATAAGTTTTGAGTTGATTTTGGAGAATATAGTGAGCCAGGTACCAGCATTACAAGGACATATTCTGGGTGTAAGTAAGTCAAAGATATTTGTTGTTTCAAACGATCATACTGCACTGGTAATTAAAACCTTGACTTCTTCTGAATGCTTGGAGAAGTATGTCAATAATGGTGATCCACTAAATCGTAACAGCATCATTTTCTGAGGAAACGACAACCTGAACACATACGAAATGCAAGCCAATCACATTGCTTAATACACAACCTGAAGAGAAACGATTTAGATTATGATTTTGAGATTACCGAGTTGCGGAAGTCCACACCGGTGTATTTCGATACTTTTGATGAGGAAGATTGTGACAGCATGTGGCAACACATTCAAAGGCTAGAAAGCAAAGGTGAAGAAGACCGGGATCGAAGAAATCAATACTCAAACATGATTGCGCACATTGAAACTATTGGTAACTCAGAAGGCAATGATTTTACTAAGCACTTAGAAGGAAAACCTAAACACGCAAAGAACTGGAATACAGTAAGCATTCAGGAGATTGAAGCAGAGTATGATCATCCCATAATGCCAAAATAATGGTCAGTTGCTGTTCCCAACAGGGGCAGTATCATAATGTAACAATAACTGCTTGTGAACTATATCTACATTACACTTATAGCATGAACGGAGAATCCAAGAAGCTAAAGCCAATGCTTAACCCTTAACCCCAAACCCAACTCTAATTCTACAAGACCTCCTTTGCTTTTTTGGACTATGGCACCACGCGTAAAGTGATGGAGTTTCGTCGAAACTTTACCTAGGAAGATACGGGCATTGGGAATAAGATAATTCCCTAAGATTGTGTTTTATCTGCTTGGGGTGGTTCCAATAGTCGGCAGTAGGCAAGGTATGCCCTAACTCAAAGTACCCCTCTGTCTCCCGCCCTCGCTCACCCAGCGTGTCCGTAATCAACTTCTGGTAGCCGCTCACCGTCTGGGCCATGTCCCTCATGGCCTGTCTGGATGTTAGATTTGCAGGTGAGCTTTGATGAGGATCTCGCAAGTGAACTCCAGCCTCGGACTTGCCCAGTGGGTTTGAGGGCTGCGGAATGTGCAAGTTGAAGTCGACCCCCTTGCCCATGCCCTGGCACGAGGTCACATCCTCAATCGCTTGACGCAGCACCTCCTCAACTTCTGCTTCGGCCGACGTTTGCGGTTGTAGCCGTTAAATGTAGTGGCAACAGCAGCAACAGCAGCAGCAGCAGCAGCAGCAGCAGGAGTAGTAGTAGTAGTAGTAGTACTACTACTACTACTACTACTACTACTGCTACTACTATTACTACTACTAGTCCTCGTAGTCCGCTTGCTATGTGTATGTCCGATAGTATGTCCTTCTTAGCCAGCAACATGACGCAACACCGACAGGCGGTGTCATGAATCTTTTCGGAGTGGGAGCCGAGCCAAGCTGCACCGAGCTTCGGCTACAGGGAATGTCGCTCGCATCGCGATGACAAGGCCCCTAGACGCTAGACATACACGTTCCACAAACTCGCCAGAAGATCGGCCACCGCATCCTTGATTGCCTGAATGTCGCCGGCGCCTGTCAGCCATGCACAATTTGCCCAGAAGGGGATGTTTGCATAGACCAGAATTGAAGGCGAAGGATTGCTATGCTTTGCACCAGGGCTCGAGCTCCACTAGACTTCCCGGATCCGACTCGTGTGGCTTGATATGGCTTGATGAAGACTTCTGAGACAGCAGTGTGAAGACGATTCCTGCTGTGATCGTCTGGGCCCCGAACTAAGGTCGCACCTCAGCTGCATGTGTATAACAAGGGCGCAAACACCTGAAACGTGAAAAAGAAAGATCCCCCGTCTCAGAGAACCAACCTTCATACACCTCGCTTGGTCAAGTGCTTGCCCTGTCTGCAATGTCACAAAGCCACGACACTCCTCACACTGTCTGAAACACCCTCTTCACACTCTTCTCAAGCAGACCCGCCTTTCTTTGACTGTGCAATTTCCTATGAATGTAGGCTGCTACCCCTGCTTGTGTCTTTCTCACAGCAAGAAGGTTTCCTTCTGCGTTGATGCAAAATACTTGAGAAGAGGCCACGAAAGCTCGGGCAAAAAAAGGAACCAGAGTCGACGGAGCTCGGGCTGCATGGATGCAAGCACGTATGTAGTCCCATGAAGTTGAAACCTGCAACATGATAGCATTATTCTGCTTTACACTCATGTAAGCACAAAACGCAAGTTGCCACGTTGCCTAAATTCTTAAACAGAAGGACCATGATGGACCTGAGGAGGGGGGGCAAAGGGCGGGAACCAAAGGAGGGGGGACCCACCCCCCGACCTCATGCGATATTGCGCTGACCTTGAGGTCCCCCTCTTATTGGCGCTAAATCAATCATTTGCCGGGTGGCGCAGGGGGGGGGGGGCCCTCCCCCTCCCCCCTTTAACTATTGTGAAAGGACCAGAGAAGGTCCTGCACGCAATTTTGACCCAGTTCATCCTAGTTCTCTACTACCTGAGTGAATGGTAAACGACAACTCCCGCAAGCTCCACAGAGCTAGCTTTCGTGACATCTGCCCGACCTCATACTGCATGAACATCCCTCCAATACCAGCGATGTGAAAGTATGCAAGCCCGGCTGAGTGTTGCCTTCCGACCCTGCGAACATGACAGTTGCAGAGCGTAGTATGAGGCTAGGTGCTGCACCAAACTTTAGCATGGACTACATGATCGATGAAGGGAGGCAGGAATTGAGGTCGAGGTTTTCTTCACATGTACTACTTCGCCATCTTGCAGCTTCGGAGCGACTTCTGTACCTGCATCATCTGCATTCCCATCCACCTGGCGTCATGCTAGCCAAAAAACAGAAACTGCCCCGACTGATGCAGTAAGCGGCATTCCTTGGAGAAGTTCAAACTTCCCTCTGATCCAAGATCCTCGCGGAATCAGTGAAGCCATCTTCTCCTTCTCCGCCTGTCAGTCGGCCAGGTATGCTCGCACGATTGCTGTGTTACTTCACCACTGCGGGCACCATCTTCCCACCTTAACAAATCTGACGACTGCTTCAAGAAATAAACCAATCTTAAAAAGAGCAGCTGTCGAATCGGCCTGCGTCTGGGGCATGCCCCCCTTCGTGTAGAGGCCCATGATGTGGGCCATCTGAAGGCAAAGGCTCAGGTAGCAGCTGCAGTCGCCGTCACAAGCGTTGTGCTAGCGGTTTTTTTGGTAGTGGTCGTGGCAATAGTAGCCGCATTCATCGTGGTCGTGGTCGCGGTTTTGGCTGTGGCGGCAGTGGCAGTAGCAATAAGAGCAGTAGGTACGGGTAGGAAACCGGCACGTTCCTAAGCCCTGCTTTTTCGCCTATTTATCTGCGGCGTCTTCTCGGGGGGGCTTTTGCCTATTCAGCCTCGCGAAGATCTTCTTCTCTGTCATGTCGTGTTCGCTCTCGGCAGGGCTTCGCGCTTTCAAATGACGTGGTGTTTTCCGAGAGTCGCTTCGCTTCAGAAGTTCGCTAGCTCTCTATCGAAAATGCTCTCGCTTTTGCACCGGCTCTGAGAGGGTGGAGGCATGCAAATGATGTATGGACTGCTTTACAGCAGCACAACCAGCAACCACCATTAGCACCAATACCACGACAGTGAGGAGAGCAAGCCCCGACGACAACGACCAAAACGACCACCACGACCGCCGAGATCACCACGACCGTCACGCCCACCAGCAGCCCGACGACGACGACTACAGTAGTACTTGCTTCTTGCTCTGCTCATCCAGATCGCTTACTGGAGCGCTTGCTTTACATGGATGCTGGCGACGGGATCATGATGATGATCGCACTTCTTGGCATTGGCGATGATGATTACTCTGATGCGACAGCAGGACTCAACGACTGAGCACATTGCATTCTGAAAGGTTCCAGCATTGTCGCCCAAGCACTTGTTCAGGTCAATCTTGATGCCATTCTGAGCGAGACACCACATCAACAGTTTCAGAATTGGACTGCAGCCCTACGAGGTGTTGGTTTCATATCTCACACTGAGCAGGCTCGAGAGTTGCGCACTCCTGGGTCTCCGACTGGCTTCTCCGGCGTTCTGATGGTAGCTCTCATGCCCTCGCCTGTAGGACTCTGGGTGACAACTATCAAAGAAGAGAAAAAAGTTGCTCTGCAGCGAGATCCGGGCCGAAGAAACCATCCATGAAGCCACCCTTGGGGCACTCAGATAACTCTCCCCTCAGCATGAACATGCATCACACTCATGATTGTGGCAGCTGACCGGCAAAGTGGGATACGCCCGGTTCTTTCTCCAAGGCCTCAGTCCTCAGACCGGTGAAGCCTACCAGAGAGACTCCAGCTGCTGCTTGACGCGAGCAAGATCAGCCTTAGCTGCTGTTTTTGTGCCCTTACTTCCGAAGAAGAATCCGGAGACACCGGAATTCGCCTTCACGTCCTGAGCATCCTGAAGAGCTGCCTTCCAAAGCTCCAACATCCTCATGAAGTGCTGCAGGCCCTCACCGCAGCGTTTTGGGTCCTGCTGAGAGTGAAGAGGTCTGGGACAAGTTGGAGTCTTGAAACTCAGACTGGATTTCTCCTCAGAGTGGAAGTGGTACTTGCTCAGGAAGGTATTGATCTGCTGTATGATGAATGGCTTGGGCATGTGCACGCCCGCGAGGAAAGTGAAGTCTGTAATGTTGGGGCAGGCCTCAAGCTGCAAGGCATCTTTGCAATGCTGGTCGTAGCGGCTGCGGTTGAAGTGGTCTACTCCACCGTAGGCACCAATGCTGGTGATGTTCCTGAGCATTTCGTATGAGTCGTCGTGGAACCTGCTGTCGCTGGTGGGGTAGTCGGTCGAGGCGGTAACACAGCAAAGGATGCTGCTGCCGCCACCCCAGTGACTCAAAGTTCCTGAGCCCTGGTCATGGCGCCGAGCCTCAGGGCGCAGAAAAACCAGGAAGAGCACTGCATCGCACAACTTCATGGCCACACCACACCAGCGAGTTCAAGCACGGGATTTGGCAAAGGACCAACTAAAGCTTTGAGCCAGGCTAGGCAAATGCACGAAGGAACACCAAGGTGCACCAGGCTTGAGCAGCCGAACTTTCATCGATATGCACATGAGTGGTGCCACTCTCCCGGCATAAAGCTCAGGGTGCCGCCGTGACATTCGCAAGGGACTCCTTCGGTGGGAGCGGGACCTTGCATTCAGAGCATGCAGCACGTACGAAAGCCGCATGCTCTGTCTCTCAAGCCTGCACACTTCTCACTATCCCGGCACCGAGAGCTGAGACCGGCCTCCGGCGTGATGCTGTCAGGGTTGCTGAGCAGAAACTCTCGCATCACCTGCTACGAGTTAGCGCTCTTGATGGCATGGTGGAAAAAGGGCAGAAGCCCGCGTGTACGAGAGGCGTCTTCATCCAAGGCACGGTGCCAGTTGCAGTCCCGAACTGATCAGGTTTACCATCATGGTACGCAGTGATTGCATCCTCGGCTCCAGACGGCACGAGATCAAAATTTGTATCTTCACGCCCAGAGCCGCAATCCCCTGCTCCAGGAAACGCTGAGCCTCAAGCTGCCATGTGGCCGAGGGCTTTTGGGCCATTGGCCACCATAGCCTTCTGCATCCATGCAGGGTTCCTCAGGTGATCATGGAACCAGCTCAAAAGGTGACGTTCCGCAGAGGCATTGGCGTTGGCACATCTTTTGGCAGGGGCTCCAGACTTTCTCACATCGTAAGCACTCAACCACCAGAAGTATGACTATATGATTTTGATGTCAATGGATGACTTAGGACTAGGAGACAGAACGAGGCCACCAAGAATCTGCGCACGCGCTGCAGCGGTGTGCAGCAGTTGCTGGGCATCGCCTGCACTGAGTCCAAGCTAGTGGTCTGCGAATAAATAAACGATAATGATAAGAAATCGCAGATCCAAACCTAGCTGGCTTAATGTCCATGCACATGTCATACGCGGAGAGCACACAACAGGCATCAAGAGGCCTTTCAGACATCTCTGCATGACCTTGTGGCTCAGACCGCCAAGCTCCTGCACCTCGTAGTATGGTCACGCATGAAGCACTAGCGAGACCATGTGCGACTGCAAATGTGTGCTTGCACAAGTCCGAAGGTTTTTGGTCGCCATGCCAGTGCTGCAGAAACGCCAGTGATGTAAGCTGGGCAAGCCGCCTGCTTGGCCAACTGCGCTGCCTGGGCCGCTCCCTGCATGCGAGAACCGGGTGGCGACGACAAGACACTGACAGCAACCCCAAACAAAGGAAAGCCTTATCCTTCACCAGAGATCAAACTTTCTCAGGCTCTCACACAGAGCAAAAATGCATGGCACACCGCAAACCTCACGTGAAAGGCTGAGCTGAGAAGCCGGCCCCCATCATCATCATCTGGGCGAGTTAGGACGCTTTTTCGACGGTGAGCAGGCACGCTTCCCCATGCCCCTCCATGTAATGGAAAGACCCAGAATGTGAACCTTGCAGTGCCTCGATTCTTCTTTCTGCGTTGCTTCGGCTCAAACTGATTGCAATGCGCTGTTTGTGGTTTGCTTTGCCCCTGCGCTGTCTCCCTGTTCCCGGTCGACCTGCCGCTCGCCAACTTGTCACTTCCCTGGCTTGAACGGATGCCTGGCTCCTCCATCGTGTATGCCTGCTTGCATGCTTGATTGCTGCTCACTTGACCATGGGCTTGCTTCGATCTGCATATTCACCTGTAGTAGTTGTACCTATTTGTTTATGAGGTGTTGCATGCATGCCTTTGAAGGGAAACTTACAGGTGTGCTTGCTCATTCCTGATGTCACGTCCCTCTGTGCATCTACTTCACTGCTCGTGTAGTGCTTGGCGAGTAGTACGTCGAAAACGTTGGTGCTGCAGCTTAGTCTGTTGAGTGCTTCACTCTCCTGTATTCACTTATTCCTGTTCGCACCCTTTGCTGAAAAAAAAAGGTATGCTGTGGTTCCTCGCTCCCTTGTTAACATCTCAAACTGAGGCGGGCTGTGGGTTCACTGTTTCTGGAACTTACCTCTTGGTTTTGCTTGGTTGCCTCTTCACGTGCACGCTGGATATCTTAGCTTCAAGATCGCATGCTTACAAACTTCTTTGTTAACATTAGGTATTCAATGCTGGGACATGAGTGCGGTTTTATGGCCGCGCTCAGTATAAACCGCGAAGCAATGCAATTCGAGCACATGCCCAGTTTGTGATTGGCCGAAAACGGCACATTGGGTCCCAGCAGGGTCCATTCCGCCGCCACCTCACAGGGAATGACATGATCATGTGTAGAGGGCAAAAGCACAATGGAAGTGAGGGCATGCGCAGCCAGAAAGCATTTTTCATGGTTCTGAAGTTCTGAAAAGCAGGGGCTCGCACCGCCTCCCATCCCCGGCATGCCTCAGCTGGACAGCACATCCCAGCAGGTCCCAGGATCGATGCCGAAGGGAGCCGTCGGCACCGTGTCAAGCACCTAACTCCCTCGATGCTGCAGTGCCTTAATGGGTGAGCTTCCGAGTCCGCAGCCCATTCCACCCATGCCACCCATTCCGCCCATGCCCATTGGCATTTGCAGCCGTCGCCCCTCGCAGGAAACAATGCAAACAAGCCGCACCCCTGCCCCGCAAAGACTGGAGGATGCCTTGCCTGTGCCATCCCAAAGATGGCCATGGCATCTTGCACCTCTCAGCTGAGAGTGCACAAGGGCAGCCAATTACAGCAGTCGTCACGTGCCGGCAACTGCTGCTTGGCTTCAGCTTCAAGTCTGGCCTGACATCTCTGGCAAACCTGTAAAACAGCATGTTGACCCCTGAACTGGTGAAAATCCTTCGACCTTCTCTCAGACTCAAACCTGACACAAGCGTCACTGCCACAGACCCTAAACCACAATTTTAAGCCAGAGTCGCACTACCAACGTTTGTGGCAGGCGCGGGTGCAGGTGCGGGCGCATGCTCCTTCCGGTTGCTGGGAGGGGCTTCGATTCGGAAATACAGGCAAGACTCTCGACAGTGATTAAAGGTCAGGTGTTTGCGACATTGGTCCCTCCCAAATCCAATCCACTGAACTCACACCATTTGTGAACGGCTCTTTCGTTGACTGAATTTGAACGATCAGAATGGTGCTGGTGGTACAGGAAGCACTGTTTGTTGATTTCGGGTTAAAGCTTTCGACAGGACCCAGATGAAATCTCCTCTGTTTTGGGAGCAGGGTGTACGAGGGTACGGCCTACGGCCGCTGCTTCTCCTGCTGGATCGACCACAGGGCCTTGCCTGGGAGTTTTTCCTGGTCCGATACTTCTCCGGGAATTTGCAAAATTCGCAACGAGTACCTTCCGTTGCTTCTTCATGGGCCCACCAGCATGCGAAGATGGCTCCCATGGGGCGAAGCGAATGAAGCGACACAGGACGAGATGCAAAGTGTGAGATCAAAGTGACGGGATCACCGATGAGGCAGGCTAAGGATGACTTCCCGAATGCTGGCCGCAAGGACGGCGCTACCAGGTCATTGACCGCTTCAAAATACTCACGTGGGCAGCCGGCTGCCAGCCACAGCCACTGCTGGCAGGTCATAAGGCTCCATTCCGTTCAACCGCGGGCGAGACCATAGGCTCAACGAGGGATCGACCGGGACGTCTCTCCAGTCCAAGCGCCGGCCGGTCCACATGCCCCACAGCACTCCTGAGCACACCGCTTTCCAGCCTGAAAAGAAACTGCAGATCTCCACAGGCCTTTGGAGAAGTCTTTGTCGCTGAGAGCCACTGTGCCAGCACCACATGCTACACTGAAACATAACTGCCGGTAACAGTCTTGCTCAAAGGCGAGGAAAACTTGCTACCAACAGCGCAATTGAACCCGAGCTGCACATCAGTAGTTAAACCTTCACCCGACACGTTCCAGTTCGGGAACGAGAACTGCTTTCCTTTTTGCAATGAAGGTACTCGAAAATTCAACTGCTCGAGAACCTGAACAAACTCGAACAGAGTAGACAGGGCTGCCCTGCCTAGGAGCCGTAAGCTCGAGTCTGCATTCAAGGACAACTTGCAGGAGTTGCAGCTCATTCGGCTACAACAGGGCAGCACCAACAGCACGCACATGAATCCGCATGACTCTCCAAAAGCACTTGCAGTTTCAATTTCCCCGGCTTCCCCAGGCCTGGTTCACGAAGCCTGCACGAAGGCTCGTGCATTAGGCTTGTAGTCACGTTGTTCCCACAGCTGTGAAAACGACTGCTTTCGGACTGAGGGAGAAAGCGCAGGGCCCGGCCTTTGAACATATTGAGCGGATTCGGTGCAGGTTCGGCACCCTGGTTCTTGGAGTCGCCGCCACCGCCACCCTAGCCAACTCGGACTTCTCACACAAAGAACTTCAGAGGCCATCAGCACACGATTCGAATGACAATGTCTGCTAGGCAGACCCCGAACATATCGTCGAACATGGAAGCGGTGTCATCCATCATGGTCTTCCCTGCCTGGCAAGGAATCGGTTCAAGGGTTGCTGTTCCTGTGACCAGCAACGCCACTGAAAACTGCAGACTTGCAGGGCTCACTCGAAGGATTAGCAAAGTCAGCTGCAAGGACCTTCCATTCGTCCGGCGTCGACCTAATGCCCCGATCAAGCCCCCGGATCTGAGGACAAAGCCCACTGCAACACCCAAGTCTAGAGATTTCAGTCAGCTCAGCCTTCTTAATATTAGCCTCAAGTGCTACCAGTGAATGCCCCTGCGCAACACTCCAATTAAGGAAAGCCAGCAGCACGTCCGGCTTGTTGGCCTGCTGTGAACGACAGTTTCTGGTTTCAGATTCACAGATATTCACAGGAGACGCTCTGCAGAGAGTCTGCGGAGGAGGCGGGGTCATTCCAGCTTTTGAATCACGGTCTTTGCAACATGTGGAAGCTAATGCCTGAGGAGTCATTCCTCCCAGTGCAGGCATTCCTCCGGGCTGTTGCCTGGCACGGTCGTTCCTTGTTTTCATGCATCTTCCACTGATCTCTGCACGGAACTCACATTCAAGCAAATGGGTCTGCTTCACCCGACATTCTGCATGTTCATAATCTGCTCGCCAATCATGACAATATTCTGGGCTACCTGGCCACTTACCGCATGGCAACACGAACACTTTCTTGGCTGACATTTACTCAAGAAACAAGATAGCAAAAATGCTGAGGTCAAAGCGGCGGCTGCCTGGCCTAGGGATCAGCCAGCCAAGTGAACAGTGAATGCCAGCATGTCTGAAACATCATCCGCTAAGAACACAACTGGACTGCTGCGAGTTTCAGACAACGCAAACAGATCTCGATGACGAGTGCAAACAACATAATGTTTCAGGCAGGTCAAAACTGGCGACTTCATGTTACCGTAGCTGATCACCGAATATCGGCAAGACAAATTGCATCTTAGACAGAGTCCGAAGTGAGAATGGCGAATGCCTGAGCTGGGTCTCATACTGCCCATTGCACCGGTCCCATCAATGAGACATTGGCGCTCACCTGGCACTATGAGTCGTGCAGAGCATAACTGCGGTGATGCAACCAGCAGTCAGCAGTCTTTATGAAAGAATCACAGACACCTTGCTGGAGCTGTTGATTCGCGAGGAAAGAGTGAATCATGCCTCGCCGCAGTTGCGGTGCAGTAATTTCTCCAACAAAACTGACGATACCGCAAGCTCAACAATACCTCTTTAGTCGGTCAATGTGGCAAAACTCCGTGCGTCGCGCATGCACCGGAGTTTGCAGCCCGCCTTGAAGAACAGTTGCTCCATTCTGGCAGAGGCCGGGACAGTGACACGGAGCAAATGCAAGAGCTCACACGAACTGGGTAGCGCCGAGAGCAGCACCGTTGGAGTGAGGGCGAAGCCCTTCGCCCTGGGCTGTCACCACGATCGATGCGACACAGCCAGAGATACAGAGAGAGACGGAGAGAGAGAAGGGAAGG